GGCTGCATCTCTGTACTATACAGTACACAGCGAACTCCTTATCCAAAACAAACCTGGTTCTTCGGCCGGGACAAATGGGTTGAGAAGGTACTGAGCAGCATCCCGAGATTTCAATGGGAGAGCTATAACGCGGATGCAGGGCTGGCCAAGCAACCATTCAATATAACTTCATAGTTAGGTAAATTTCTTAATGAATGCCACGAGATCAGTCTGTGAGGGATGTACGATATTGTGCTAGATATAAAAGAGTTCTTCACTCACTGGGTATCGAGCCAACGGGGTCAAGATGCGAGATTGCATGGCATAGCCCGTCTGGTACTGCAGACGAAGAGCGACGGCGAGGTCGATCGAAGCAACAACAAAGGTCTACAGCTTCATTATATAAAATCCGACAACTTATATTACGAAAGATGCACGCCTCGGGAGCAGACATACTCTAATCATGTTGATATAAGCCCCACGCCGTAAAATTTAACCAAACATAAGCCAGAACGGGAAGTTGCAAATAACGCCAAGAAATCCAAAAGAACCAATAAAAAAATGGGGCCCTAGCCCTCTTATGATGGTTGATGCAAGCATCAGGTTCCATACCTGCTGTAAGGGCGATACATGAGCGGTAAAAGAATGCTGTCACGCCGGGCTAGGATAGGACGCTAGGCATCATATGAAAGAATCATATAATATGATCTAGAAATACGATTTATAGATCACCTTCTCTGGACTCGAACTCAGAGGCCTCCTACGTACAGCCGCATCTAGGTCTAGCGGTACGTCCAGGCCTGAGACGCTATACCGTTGAGCCAACGGGGTGGTGAGGGTTGATACTTTACTCTTCTTTAGGGGTATAATATAACATAAGCTTTCAAAAAGTTTATGCCTTCTTTTCCAGACTGGACCTTGATATTAGCTACTCTCTGAACTTGACCTCTTCACTTCTCTGTTCTCCTTCCATCTTTCACTGGTATCAGTTTACTCTTCATGCCGTGATCGAAGTCTTTTGAGTCGCGGCCAGACTAGAATGTCTTGATACGTTGAGACTCCGTTAGTCTAACTGCATCAGATGCGGACTACGAATTAGATCAGATCCATAACACTCATTTTCTCTGTATCTCCGTTCTTAGCTATTTCCAGAAATTCACAGGGTTCCTACTACCCCTAAGGCTGATATACAGCACGTTAAAGCACGTTATTGTTTACAGCAAAGAGAATGTTTATTTAGCCCTATATGTCACATCACCTCTCAAATCCCTGTGGGTGATGGTTCACTTAGACGCTCTCTGTAGGTACGGATATAGTATAAAAGCTTAATTCTCCGAAGCCATGTCAAGTAGATATATGAGGTCTATAGTCGAGTTTAAGGTATAGTGGGGCTGGTGGAGTCGCCGTACCCGCAGTATACAACCAGTCCATACCCCAGTATAGCTTTACAGTAGATATAAATGCTATTTCACAAGGCTATTTGGATATTTCCAGGATCTACACTTTGAAACTACTTGATCTATATTTGGGATCGAGAGGGGTAAACAAAGAGCCACATGGAGATCCATGCAGGTTAGCCACTGACAAGCAAACTTGGTTGTACCGGTACTTACCTCAAGCTGTAACCACCATAACTACCCAGGTACCCAGTACAACCCCGCCATGACTGTCATTCGGGTCATCCACTCTTATCGCGACACCCCTCATCTGCCGTGATCAACTCTCTCAGTTTCTTTTTGTTGCTCCTCTCTCTATTGTCTCTACGGACTGACATCTTTCATAAAATATTCCTTCACGTCGCTGCCTGAGTCAGATACGCACCTGACCATCGGGCAACTCCCCGCAGACCCACCTGCTTATCACTCTATTTGGCTCTCTGGGACTCTATCCAGTATCTTCCAACCTTTCCTTCTATGTTGCTCAGTTCCTCTGCCTTCTAACTCTGCTATTCTTGACTTCCGTCTTTTCGTTATCTCTCCGACTTGAGAGAACCCCCAAGCTCCTGTTCCCGCCGCTTGCCCGCTCTATGCAGTTACCTAGTACGCAGATATGACTGACTCTCCAGAGTCGTCGCCTCGACGACGTCTCACCAGTGCCCGGATTGCTTCTCACCTGCAATATCCGACCTTCCCACCGCTGACTGCCTCTGTGGAGGAGTGGGTTATCCGCTCACGACCTACCAATATGACGTCAGTTCAACCTCCCGATCATCCGCCAAATTCCTTGAGTGATAGCTGGGCTACTTTGAGTGTTTCTGATATACACTCGGAGGATGGCAGTCACTCCGAGCAGACCGATACATGCTCGCTCATCGACCAGACCACCCCCGACGACGTTGCAAGCCTCGATGAACGGTACAGCAGCAGCGAGGCCGAGGTGCAGGATGAAGACAACCAGGAAGATGATGGAATAATGGGAGATGAAATCCCGTGCAGTGCCTCAGTTTCTCAACAGTTACCGACTCTTTTTCCTTTCACAAGGAGCACAATCGATGACAGCACCACAACCACCAAGCCCACCTTCCCCAACTCCAGTGACTCGATCGAATTTGTGGAACCTGAGAAGTGGCCTGAGATCGAGAGAGTGGAGCTCAAGCATACCATCCGTATCTTTGATGGAGCCGCAGCCGAGGAGTTGAAAAGCCGGTTGCCCTTTAACTCAACCGATTCCATCCTCATGGCTACTGTCCAGCAGACGATGACGAAGCAAAGTCTAGACCTGGACAAACCATTCCGCGTGCTTTACGTCGGGCAACCAGAGTTCCGAAACATCATTCTTGATAAGATCGGTGACGTTCTAGTATCTAGCTCATGTGCCAGTTCGGAGACCAGCTCTGCTGAATCTTCCCGGTACCACGTTGTGCCAACCTCTTTTGGTGCCGGGGCTGTTCCAAATTTCGCCGAGCTCCTCCCGATCCATGTTCAGCTGGTAGTCGACGAATGCGTGGAAGCCACAGCCGATCCCAGTGTGGACCGACCTAATACCCTGACCCTGAAGTTCAAGAATCGCGCGGTGTGCACTTCGGCATGGAATGGCTCGGGTTACCGTGTCTCGTCTGCATCAGATTGGACTCTTCCAGATGTAGCAATTATCTTCGTCTCTGGCCGTGATGATGCAAAAGCTATCAATACCCAGTATCTTACTCATGCCTTCCTGGAACGCCATGGAATCCCGGCAATGATGATTTCGGAGGAGCCATTGTGGAACATGGCCGGGGAAACAATCCCTCTTAATCATAGCAGTCTACACACTTGCTTGGAATCTCGGCACCCAGAATCAGGAGAGACCGCGGTTCTTCGACGGTATCCCATCGATTTGAAGACTTTTGAGAGCATCACGCCCGGGCAACTCAACCGAAACCTGGCATCGCTCGTTGGTCTTTACTCGAAGAAGGCACACAAGGTCACTGCTGAGACATCCAATTCATTCCCAACGACATTCTTTGCCGGTCATGAGAAATATCTCGAAAATTGGCTTCCATCTTCCTATGCCACCCGGGTTCGTGAATGGGCCCCCACGCTACGTTTAGTCGCTTTGACTCTCATTTCGGCCATTGTCCTCTCAATCGGATACGCCGCTGTGAAGGTAATAGTGGTTTTCCTGGCGCAGTGTATTGCTGGATCAGCTCTGTCCAATGCATTCCCTCCCGCGTCACCCCAAATCTCCTCTTCCTCCGTCCCGCCCCTCGATAGAGTGAGTCAAACTTCAGTCTCGATACAACCGTCATCCTCTGTCCAAATATTACATGTTCCTCCAGTGGGTGTTTCGATCCCCAATGAGATCACTGTACCTGCGCTTTCAGCCCCGGGACCAGCAAATGCGGACGAATTTGAGATCCAGACTGTGGGAGACTGTCACGTCATCATCAAACCATCTTTTAAGTTTACTACCTCCAAGAAACAACCTCGCTTCAATGTGAGCGTTCAAAGGCAAAGCAAAGATCTTCCATACGAGCTGTCCCAATTGTTCGAAGGAGTCTACATGCTCAAGTTGGACCGGGAGGATGCTTACGGTTTAATCAACGTGACAATCACAACCCAGTCAAAAGTGCCAATCAACCAGACTATGGCCGTTGACTTCGGAACACCATGGTTGAAGATTGCGAGCTGGAAGCGCGCCGCCCAAGGAATATCTTCGCAGTTTACGAAGGACCTACAAATGGCTCAGACCGGCCTCACTGAGGTATATGGCCGATTCTCCACCGACTTGCAAGTGGTCATGGGTGATGTGGTGAAGAGAACGCATATCCTGCGTCGCGATGCTGAGAATCTACGTCGTGATGGCCTCACTACACGCGACACCGTTCTGTCACGATCGAAGCAGATTTCCGAGGTCTTCACCCGCAACGCCCTTCAGCGATTCCGGACTGCTTCCTCCGTGCTGCAGCTTCGGTCCAGTCGTGCGAACAAGGAGGCTAAGGAGCTTGTGCATGATGCATGGAGTCGTATTGGAGAGTCAGCTGCGAAAGTCGACCTCCGCAGTATGATGGATCGGGTGCGCAATGCGCGCAAATGCGAAGCGCTGGATCGGGCTCAGTCGCGTGCGCGACATATTCTGGGTCTTGACTCAGCCAGGTAAGGGAATTTGATCCTCTCTCGCTACAAATGATGAATGATATCTCTTTTTGTTTTGTACTTGCTTTATGATTTGGCGGATGGGTTGTCCACGGCGATCAGGTTTGGTGGGGGTAACGGGATTGGGAATCGGCTCACACGAGTTCTTCAAGCGCAATATTATGTTTTATGCTTTATTTAAGTAACTTCATTGGAATTTATCATAGAAACAAAGTCTTTTCAAAGCATGCTCTTTATCCTTTGTTCTAGAAGTTTGCATATACAAATCCAAGGCGGTGACGGGTTCTGCCTGGCACCCAAACTATTAATTTTTCCCCCCTCATCGCCGCTCTGATCAACAAACGCTCCCAATTCTCTTCCTGTATTCCACTCTTACATCCGTGGAACTCAGCCAACTCGTCTCTCTTTCATCTTTTTCAACCGAATTTCTGGAACCCTTCAGTTACCATGTCTGACGTCGCTGAGACCAAGCCTGACCCCACCACCGCCGCTCCTGAGGACAAGAAGCCCGAGGAGACCACCACCGGCGAGGGTGAGAAGTCTGTCACCGATGCTGCTACCGAGACCGCCAAGGAAGCTGTCGACACTGCCAAGGATGCCACTGTGAAGACTTCTGATAGCGTGTTTTCCATGTTCGGTGGCGGCCCCAAGAAGGAGAAGAAGGAGGAGGCTGACGATGCCGACGAGCCCTCCGGCTCTTCCAAGGCCAAGAAGGCCGATGACGATGTGAGTGGGATATGCCTATGATACTGGTGATATGGCTGGATTGTTGCTGGACGCCTACACGATGGGAGCGGGGTCTTTGTGCCCCTTTCCCCAGATAGTGGGGTCGTCGCAGCCACGCCATATTGTATCCGCGATGCTTACTTTTTCGCCGCGCTCATGCTAATGTGGATATTTATTTGTAGGAGGAGGAGGCTCCCGAGTCCCCTGACGTCCACTTCGAACCCGTGATCCGCCTGACCGAGAAGGTTGAGATCAAGACCAACGAGGAGCTCGAGGAGCAGGCCTTCAAGATGCGCGCCAAGCTCTTCAAGTTCGACCGCGAATCCAAGGAGTGGAAGGAGCGTGGAACCGGTGACGTCCGTCTGCTGAAGCACAAGGAGAACCAGAAGACCCGTCTTGTCATGCGCCGTGACAAGACCTTGAAGGTCTGCGCCAACCACTACAGTGAGTTTGTCTGAAGGTGGATATTTTTGGGTTGAAGCTAACTCATGCTATCAGTTGTCCCCGACATGAAGCTGAGCGCCAACGTCGGCAGTGACCGCAGCTGGGTCTGGAACGCCGCCGCCGATGTCTCCGAGGGTGAGCCCGAGGCCCAGACTCTGGCCATCCGTTTCGCCAACAGCGAGAGTGAGTGATTCGCCTCAAATTTGAAACGAGCCTTTCTAACCCGATTCTAGACGCCAACGCCTTCAAGGAGGCCTTCGAGAAGGCTCAGCAGGAGAACGAGAAGCTCTTCGCCGCTCAGGAGTAAACAGCTCCCTTTCTCATTGCTGATTTCTCGAGAAAGTGTAGAGATACACAACCATTCTGCACTAGGCATTCATGACCTTTGTCTCTATGCAACGTCCAGGAGCTTGCTCTCGAAAAAACAACTCCCCCATTCTCGCCCCCTTCCAAATCGTTTCACCCCATTACCCCATCCCTTTGAATTCCATTCCAATAAACCCCCCGATCCCCTACGACGCGACGAGGCGAGGCAGCAGTTATGAAGATGCTCCTCGCATGCTATCGTGAGCCATGCAGTCTACGAAATGGAGGGCAGTTCCCTGACGTTGGTGGTTCGCAGTTTGGCAGTAGATAGACATTTCCCCACCGAATATACACGCTGCACATCGCCGTTCCCTGATATAAGTAATTTAAGACGACTATACCAGTTTGCCCACAATGCACCGTGATAAACCAACAACGAGCTTAGTGAAATGTGCCAGTAGCCTAATTGTACTTGTGTAGGAGAATGCAGGAAGCTTCGATACCTTTCGGTGGAACAGACAGCTCTGGTCTGAATCCAGATTCAGCTTTGCAATGAGGTTGAGATCTGGATAACCAGCCATCCTCCATAATACATAGATTGTGGACTGTATTATGGACAATAGTATAGACCACAGTATAGACCACGGTATAGACTTATAGACTATCTATCTACTGCTGCGTCTCACAGTCAATCACAAGATCCATCTTTCGGGTGTTTCAGATCAAAATTGTAGATGGTTCCTATATTCGTATGTTCATATATCTTGCATTGCCATACATGTAGTTGAATATCTATGGATGTAATATATCAAACGTCAGAAGTCGACTTGAATAGACGGCGTGAATAGTGTCGAGTTCATAGAAATGGGGAGACAAACATGGGCCCTCGCCGACTTCACCTACACATTTCCCCTCCAATTTGCAACAACCACCTCAAATCGATTGGCGTCTATATACTAGAGCCACCGCATACTCAATCCGAAGCCGTCTCTTCTGCCCTGCTTTGCATCTCCAAAATCTCATCACTCCGGCACTTGCGCGTGGAGACCGACCCCAACCCGCGCAAACTGTTCTCCGAGCAGTTACGTCCCCTTCAACATCTTTCACCCCAAGATCTAGACTAGAATCTGAAAGCCCAGTCGCTTTCACTCTTACTTTAAAAAAATGCCTGACGTGAGTCACTCCCCCCATCCCTCTGCGAAGGGACTGCACCAGGACTGTGGGATTGTCACCGCGAGCTCTGCTTGCAGGTCTAACCCGCTTGCCTCTTGGGATATCCTAGCTTTCGCCCAATCAAGCTCTAGCTAATACATCTCGCCATACCTTAGGTCAAGCGTACCGTCCGCCTCATCACTGAGCAGCACATCATGTACGTGCCCATCCTCCCCTCCCTTCCTGCCCCGACCAAGCGCGCCTTCCCACACTCCCCACACTGGTCTTTAAGACTCTACTCATGTGCCTTATGACACACGAGCAAGGACATACAATGCGCGCATGAGCGAGCATCACCAACCTCTTCCCCCGTTACCCGTCACCCGCCTTCCTCTGCCTCCACCACCACCTCCGAACACCTACATTTACACAAAGCATTTGGTTCAAAGCACAAGCTAACATGGACCTTCCCTCGCAATAGTGACAAGCCATCGGAAGTCGAGGGCTTCCCCCAGCGCTCGTGGCACATTGAGGTCTGGCTCGTCAACGACAAGGGCGAGTTGGTCCCAGCCAATGTCTTTGACAAGGTCACTTTCCACCTGCACCCAAGTTTCGGTGAACGCGCAACCCAGAGTACGTTGTGGTCCCAATTTACCAGTTTCGCCGTGACCTGTCCTTCCCCTACAATGCTCAACGGCGGAACTGTCTCTCGATTTGTGTCTGGGATCATATGCTGACGCTGTCAACCTTAACTTCAATAGCTTTCAGGAACCCTCCTTTCCGTATTGCCGAGGAGGGATGGGGTGAATTCGACATGTCTATCGAGCTCACCGCTGACAAGTCTTATACCATTGGCCATGACCTGAACTTCGCCCAGACCCGCTACGAATCCAAGCATGTTATCGTGAGTATAGCGTCTATATTAGACGGGATATACCGCTGGAAAAGGATTTTGCTCTGACCGGTGACGACTATTTTGTTACAGACTTTCAAGAACCCCAAACCGCCTCTGATGGCCGTTCTCCGCGAGTCAGGACCTGTCCCCGGCGACGAGAACGGAGTGAAGTCCAAGCGTCCTCTTGCTGGTGAGGAGAGCGCCAAGAAGAAGCGCAGCCGCACGGAAAAGAATGTAAGTTTGTTCAGATTGGTTTGTGCTTGGCTGTGAGACTGACTTGTATACACCAGGTCGATATGGACAAACTTGCCGATGGTCTCCAGAAGCTCAACGAGGATGATCTCCTGCAGGTTGTGCAGATGGTGCATGATCACAAGGCTGCAGACTCATACACAAAGAACGACGTCGAGCGTAAGTCAATCCCCTGAACTTTTAGGAGAATAATCACCTCTTCTTCGTCTACTTTCTAAACAAGCAACCCACTCACAACCCTTTTTACAGTCGGAGAATTCCACGTCGACCTCTATACCCTCCCAGACGCACTGATCAAAATGCTCTGGGATTTCACAGCAGAGCGCGGAGCCATTTAAAGGGCTTAACACCGAGCCAAGAGAAAAAGAACGCATGAAGAAAAGCAGGCGTGGATAAGTATTCAATTCTCTCCTGTTTTCTTCTACCTACATCTTCATCTATGTGTCTCGTCTCTCCGCTGTGTCTACACGACACGATATGTCCCGTCCCGCATTTTATTAGTTCGCATGCTTCTCTCTATCTTGTTCTTCTTTTTCTTTCGTTTTCTCGTCTTTTGACAACCCCGGGGAGTTAGCGGACCGTCGAAGGAAATTGGATGGCTCTCTTTTTTCTTTTTTCTTTCTGCTTCTTGCCTCTGCTTGGGCTTTCTGCTGCTGCTCGCTGGATAGTATGGATCTGATACCAATCTTGATAACACTTGATTTTTGCCGGGGTTCTTTCTTTGTAGGGGTTTTGGTGTAGATCTGTGTAGAGTCGAGAAGGGATATAGGTTTATTTCTCTACAATCGATAAGGAGTACGGAATAGGTAATATCTTCCACGGCCTTGAATCTCTGACCGCTAGGCTGGAGAGTAAATAGAAGTCTATATGACTATGAAAGCAAAAGGAGAATAACTTATTAGAAAAGACCTTCGTTTCAGAAATAACAAGCATGGGATATCTAAACCAACAAAAATCGAGTCCAGCCCCGAGCAGTAAACAAAGAAAATAAAATATCAGACAAGGCAAGAAGAGAAAGCAGAGCAGCCACGTCCCATGTCCAATGCGACAAAATAGTATCCAGACCATCGGCCAACCAAGTCCCAACCCCGTTTCTAGGGACAAACGCCGACATGCAAGACCCATGTTCCTTTTTTTTTTTCTGTGCAGCTAGTGTATCCATCAATGATTTGAGACAAGAAGGAAATAGAGAGAGAGAGACAGAGAGGGGTGGGGTTGTAGGGAGAGCGAGTAAAAGACAAAACGTGAGGCAAAAGAAAGACAGGCCCTGCAAAGAAGACCCCCGGACAGCCATGACGCCTTGCTACCACCCAATCAAAGCGCGGTGGCTTAAATAAATGAGTTAAAAAAAAAAGAGAGATCAAAGCACACGGTTTCTAGAAATGCACATCAGTATCAGAGTATTTGGAATGGAATGAACAATGAAGAGAATAGCAAAGAACATACAGCTTCAGGAGGTCTTCTAGACTATCAGCGCTGCAGCTCCGACCACGGGGAATGCTGCGCAGGACATCCACAATGGTAGCGAAGACCTCGCCACCCCGGTAGGCTAGGATAGCAGGGGCCTTGATATGATCCATCTCAGCGATATCCTGATGCAACTTGACGAAGCGGGTAGTGGGTTGTCTGCGGGCGATAGTGACGAGGCATTCTTCCACGATGGCGCTGTCATCCGACTGAACAAAACACAGTTAGCATGGTCCACCCATTTCAATATCGAATGTGATATGTCACATCTGCCTCTCTCTCCACATGTAGACTCAAGGGGTACAGTATAAGTAGACCAAACATACCTTGTGATCATAGATACAAACAACAACAACCGTCTCAGAAGTAACCTTCTCAATGGCATCCAGATACCCCACCGCATCAACATTCTCAACAGACCCAAACCGTCTCCCGCGGGGACTCAATCGACGATGACCGCGGCCCTGCAGCTCCTGCATCCTTGACGCCCGCCACTTCCGCAGGAACCGCGCCTCATCGTCGTCGTCGCTAGCCGAGGACGCCTCACCATGCGGCGAGTCATCGCGGGTCTTTGCACCGAACGAGGGCCCATTGCCGTCAAACCCGGCAGCATTAAGGAGCGTACGACGGAATGACTTCTTCCTCGCCCGTTCAAAGGCCTGCGCATCGGCAATGACACCCTTCGGACCGGTATTAGCGTCGTAGACGGTATTCGGCACGTGGTAGTTCGCCGTGCGGGACGAGACCATGTTGTCGTCTGAGAAGTCTTCCTCGTCGGAGGAGTCGTGGATTTTGCGCTGGCGGAGGTTTTTGGTTGTTTCTTCGTCGGAGTATTGGGCGTCTGAGTCTGAGTGATTGTTGTGTTCGTGGTCTTCAGGGTGGGTGGCGAAGCGGGAACGGTTACTGTTCACCAGCTGGTTAAATTCGTCCTGGGCGGACATGGCGAAAGCGAGGGGTTGGATTGATTTAAAGCTGGGGTGAGAGTTTGGAGCCCGACAAGGATGGGGAGGAACTGGTCTTCCCCTGAAACGGAGATGGGGCTGTGGTAGGCAGAGATCGTCATGAAACCAGAAGCCCCTTTTCGCGTTTCAGACTGTTTCCCGAACACCCGAAGAATGTTCTTTTCTTTTTGGCTACTGTAGTTACTGTATTTAGTTATTTAGCATGTGCCTATATCTTCTATTTACCTTCATTGATTCAGAGAATATCTAGATCAAGAGTACTAAATATCAGCT